CCGCAATTTTTACGTCCTGAGTCAATCCTGAAAGTTACAAAGTCACAGAAGGGGACTCTTCCACTAACAAGGGAACTTTTTCAAATTGCACACGCCGATTTTGATGAAACTTATATGAAACATAGTTCTTGAGAAAATATTGTACACGTATTTTTTTCATATCGATCACATCAACTTTGAAAGGCTGAAAATGTCCGTCAAAGTTGAGGTTTGAAAATATATTTTTTATATCTCTGCAACTAGGGGGTGTAGAAGAAAAATTTTCTTCATAAATTGTTCGAAATGAACAATCTAGGTTTCTTTTCTGCGTCCCCTAGTTTCGGAGATATTGTAAAAATTATATTACAACCCTCAACTTTGAGGGGTGTTTTCACTGCTTCAAAGTGAATGTTGACTAATAAGAAGAAATACGTGTCAAATATTTTCTTGAGGATTGTCTCACATAAGTTTCATTAAAATCGGCGTGTGCTGATTGAAAAGATTCTCCTGTCAGAAAGAGTTATGAAAGATGAGATATAGAACGATGTTATGTTTTTTATGTTTACCGAATCCCGGAGACGCGGAGGCTGGGCTACTATGTTTCCTGGAAGGACCGAGATAGAGTGTGTGATCGATTATCCTTTCCCCCGTGCTCTGTTAGCTTTTAGGACTGACTCAGGACGTGAAAGCTGCACAGCAGATGATTGTTGATTTAATCCTCTGCACTCGCATGTCATGCTGGAGATGACTGTACAAATTTGTTATAGGAAATTGGAAATTGTTTTAAAAAGTACCACGGTTTAAGACATTATAAAAATTATATCTTATTACAATAATAATAAATTCAAAATTAACGGTGTTAATTTTTTATAAGTAAATCGGATGCAATGTTAGCCATTCGGATCCGATAAACTTGTAATTAGTTTTAGGGAAGTGAATTAAAGTAATTTACAGCGGCAGAATTCAACGTTTCATATTTACTTCATATATTATTATTATTATAAGGTTTAATTTTTATAATCTTTTAAAGTACCAGAAATAAAATATAACAAATTTGTATTGTCATCGCCAGCATAGCATACGACTGCAAGGGGTTAATACGGTAATAATACACAAAGTAACTTTTGGATAAAAAGAAAAGACTGTAATTTTCATTTGTTTTTAAAGACAACGGAAAACTACAGATGCATTTTTTAATTTGGATGTATCGGTCATCTGACTGGCCGTGGTACGTTGTTTAATGTTAAGTATTGTATTTCTCTGTTTCGCTTTTATCGCCATTTTTATAGCGGATCGCAGCTACGCTATAGACGTACCCTTAAGCTAGATACACACTACCGGTCCGCTTTCGGTCCGCTAAAAATTCTTTCCTTGTCCTTGATAGTAAAGATAATTAATCTATGAACACATGCGTTATAAACAATTGAAGAATATTCAATCGAACCGAGAGAAAATTAAAACTAGACCGACAGTGTGTAGAGGACCTTAGTACGGCCGGGCTACGGTTCGCTTGCGTCTAAGCCGTGTCTACACCCAGCGAATGAGCAGAAATGAACCTCAGTGGACGAACGCGAACTTATTGATATTTACTGCGACACTTATTAACCTTCAAAACGTCTCCGTATATATTACAAATTTCTGTCGTGGTTGCATTCAATCCTGAGAAAAAATCAAACAACATGCAATGCCGTATAAATTCTTCAATAGGTTGATAGTCCGCCATTTTGTTTCAGGATAATGTTCCTTTATTACTTAACTAAAGAATATAAACTCACATTCAAACTTTGCAAAATATTATAAAAAACCTCACTAATAAATATATTTAACCTGTTAACTGTGAAATTTAGTTTAAAAAGTCTCATTTTGCGCGCGATAAAATCGAAAAACAAAGTGTATACTCGTCGAATTCAGGCCAAAAGCATTTATGATATATACTAACGATAAATCAAACGATTACATGTTTGTCTATAAAAATACAGAATCTATTGTTAAAAAGGTTAGCACCATTTAGAGTTTCAAGATGTCGCGTACACTCGTCAAACGCAGTTAACTGGTTAAGTCAGCTTCAATGCACGCAGCTATCTAAAAGAGATTGACGACTTATGGGTGCCCCTAAGAATACCGCAGTCCACGAGTGAAACAGAAACCAGGCAGCAATGATGATAATCGCATTCCCTGTGCTTCGTTCATGCATCTCTAGAAGAGAGGCCAACTAGAAAGCGGATCGTCAGACGAGACGCTAGATTAAGGGTGCATTCGTTCGTGCCCGACACGCGTGCTCGCCGGCGTTCATTCACGTTCGGCTCGTGCCCGTTCGCCAGGCGAGAACTTTCGCTTCGAAGCTTTCAATGAGAGAGCTGGGTGTCGTGTCAATGGAAAAAAAAGTTCTCGGTGCGTTTCCCCGTTTCAGGGTGAAAGTGGTGGCGGAGAAGTGGTGGCTGGCGGTGGTGGGCGAGGTCGAGGGCGGAAAGGGGAGGCAGTGCATACACCCAGTGGACTATACATGAAAACCGTGCGCATCGGCCGTAAGAACGCGGACACAGTGGCGGATATACAGAGACAACGTAAAAAAGCCAGGGGACGAGTACAGCCGACGACGGTCAGTCAACACGTTCCGTGACGAACCGATTTTTCGACGTTTTCCGTTCAGGCCGAATTTATTTTACAATTAAATTGTTTTGTTCTTGATCTATACTTTAGAATTTTAACAGTAGTGAATAAAATATAGATAAAAATTGTATTAAATTTTATTTTATTGACTTCACAATAAATTATTGGAAATTTTTTCGTTTTACAATGAGAATACTAAATGGTCTGAATGGAAGGTTCAGAGGACGGAACGTTCACACGGCACGGAACGTATTCCCGTCGTCGACATCGTCGTCTGACAAGGAGACGTTGCAGCGAATCATTCATTTTGATGAAACTCTTTTTAACGAACAACAAAAATAAGCCACCTGTATTTAGTCATTTTTGTGAATACTCAATGTTTGAAAAGATATTTAACGTTTCATTTGTTTGATTTCGAGAGATACTTAAATACTTCACTACTGTATCGAGAGTTCGAATTCGTCTGAGATCGGAAAAGTGAAACTATTCATTTTTAAAGTCATTTCGAATATTCAATGCTTTGAGGGTATCAATAATTGTGAAACAAGGAAACCGAAACCATTTTGACTGTTATGGTGGTTCCAGCGTTAACAATACGTTTACGGATATCTATTGTACAGTTTATTCTACTATTACTAGAAAAATTGATGTTTGTTCATTTAGACTTTAGAAATTAGAAGTTTAAAGATAGATAATTGAAATATACATTTGCGTTATTGCAGTCAATCAAAATCGTTGTAAACATTTACTAAATACTGTTCATCAAATTCAATATGCGCCAGATCGACGCATTTCGTAAACTTAGTATTAATTCATGGTTTATTATTCATAAATTCATAGTTCATTTTTGCCCATGATTCCTTTGAGACTATTTACCTCATGAGCAGAATATGATGACACAATAAACAAATTTTAATCCTTTTCTTAAAAGCAAATTTTATGGCAGTTTTTTACCTCAATTACCATCAAAATGAAGATGTAGAATAACGCTACGACAAGGAAGTATAATCATTCCTGCCCACCCTGTAAATATCACTCGTGATCGGTTAGCCACGTTATGTAAGTCAAAATGTGCCGTTTCAATAAAGTAAAAAACTTTAACAGAAAAACTGACCCTTGTGAACTCTGATAACCTATCTCCTTACCAAATTGGTCCCAGACAAGTTTGAACTCTCGATACAATACTGAAGTATGTAAGTATATCTCGAAATCAGAGAAAATTAAATGTTAAATATCTTTTTAAATATTGAGTATTGACGAAAATGTCCGAATATGGTCGGCTTGTTTTCGCTCTAGATTCATTAAAAAAAGTTTCATCGAAACCGATGATTCAATCACTGCAACGTCTCCTCGCGAGTCTTTCGCTTTCGCTTTCGCGGGTAACCTCCGTGATCGATCTCGATCGAACGTGCCGCTAGACAACTAGAGCGATGCGGTAGGATAAAGATCGTTGAACTGAGGATACTTGACGGAAACAAAAGATACATGTGTACATAAGGTGATTTGAAAAATGGTTTTGAAGTTTGAAGGTAAATGGAAATTGTTTAGTGGAGGAAGAAAGTTCTAATGAATTTGTGTTGGTAGATTAAGAGATTGATAGATTCAAAACTAGGGAATTCTTTGCTTCGAGCAAAATGAAAATTTGGAAACTAAAAATAGATCATTTTATCATTTGCTTGATTTTTTAAGTTTTTCGCTGTGTACTCAACGAATTTGTAATAGGGAATTGCGTTTTCTTTCAGAAATTTAATTTTTGGAATTTCTTTATTCGAATGATAGGATGTCAGTTTTGTTGCACTTTTGAAATTTTGTATTAATAACGTTGTAATTATAGAGGTAATATTAGATATATATAATTTAATGCTTCTCAAGTACTCTCTAAATGATTAAAGTACCATATTCAATTACAGATGAATTAAATAACGTTCTGAGATGAACAACGAGGACACTTCAAATTAAAAGGTTATCTCTGTAACTATCCATTTACCATGAGAATGTGCAACTGACATCTCTCTAGTGCAGTCTACTAATACAAGAGATAAGATAATCCTATATTACGATAAGTATATACAAAATATAAAAAGAGTCAGAGAACCCCTTGTTATACAAACATGTTAACTTTAACCGAAACAAGAATTTAAATCCTTGAATATTAATTTTTCGATGCATGTCCATTAAAACTTTCTTCCTTCAATTGAACTCTGTTCGTCCTTCAAATTCGAAATCCTTTGGAACGATCACCTTTTGTACATATATATATATATATAAAACATATACGTATACATGGAAACAATAAACAGAAGAAGAAAGTAAATCACGAATCTCTGAAAAATTCCCAAAAAGAAATTCTCTCGACAGCCCATTGGTGTATGTAGTGCCGCCTAAGGAAGAACGTTAGTGATCGTAAATACCTTCGTAGTACAAAAGCAACACTCGAATTCGCTAGGTATTTCATCATTTTTCTCGAATTTTCTGCTGTCTTTTTTCTCTTCATCCTACAATGTCACACACACAATTTCCCATTTTACTTGGCGTAAAACACACGGTCCGCCGCGGTCGGAAGCGATCGGACCATTTCGATCCGCCATCGCGACGGTTGGCGCTCGAGCCGGCTGAATGGGAACCGGGACGCGAAGATGCTGCTGTCGAGAACAGCTGCGTCGATATTACTCGCGTTGGGAATTGTTTGCCTTGCTCGTTGGGAATCCGTGTTAGAGAAACGAGGAGAACAATAATTTTAGTCGTTGATATCGTATAGCAGCGGTTGACGCGACGATAAATAATTTTTAAAAAATGTATAGAAATATACGAAAATATATACAAACATATGGAAGTATATAAAAATATTGCAAAATATATAAGCATATAGGAAAATATATAAAAGTATACAAAAGTATAGAAAAATATATAAAAATATAAAAAAATCTATAGAAATGTATAAATAATTTCTGTTTATCTATTGTCAATTTTAATCCGTATTAAAGAAAAGAGAAGAACGATTATTCCAAAGCGACAATTATCGAATCGCGAAAACGGTGACGAAATCGTCCGAGCACTTCTCGAGCCAGCGAACATGTAATTAATCCTTTGAAGCACGCATTCAAGAACGTATAATTATTTGTTATCTATATAATCGGAATACCCGTATGTCGAATAAAAGTTTTCCGCAAAAGCGATTCATCGTTGCGTTGCATCGAGCTTGAATTTTGTGGGAAACGTTGCACCTTTCGTTCGGTGCTTCAAAGGCTTAAACGAGGCGACGTATGATCACGTGGAGCCAGAGAGACAGTGAGAGATAAACAAAGATAAAAAGAGAGATAGATAGATAAATAGATTGATAGATAGATAGATAGATAGAGAGAGAAAGAGAGAGAGAGAGAGAAATTTTTTGTGTTTGAAGGGTGAAAAGGAAAACGTGTTTCGGCTGTGTTCGTTTGTCACACGTGTGTACTAATAAGTGGACTGTATCATAAAATCGTGGTATTCGTGGCACTTTGATTGAAATTACAATTAATAGGTATGTTTTTCCTTCGTTCAACCTACTTTCGTTGGAAATATTATTGTATTCAGGAAATATATATAAATTACTTCAGAATTTGAATAGTATAAATTAATTCTATGTTCTTGGAGAATTATTTAGTGATTATAAAATATTGGATGGTCGTTCTTAAGGAAATGGAACTTGAGAATTTGATCGTTATAGTTAGTGAAAACAGTAATATTATTTAGTAACATATGACTGTATAAACGATCTATGTAGAAACCATTTTTCTCAGAAATAAAGCCCCGTTCACAACAAAGTTTACTTAAGGCGTCCATTTATTTCTTCAGTAGCACTAGCAATAAAGAACAATCACGAAATAATAGGATTTCTTGGGACTTCATTTTGAATTACGTTCCGATACCACTACTTATGAATTCCCTAGCGTGTATTTGATAAAACGTGACCTGTGATAAAACGTGTTCCTTGATGTATGTAAACCAAGTGACAGTGAGACGCGTTGAAGCGAAAAAGTAACTTTAGGATGCGTAAAAAGTGTGGAGGAAAGTTTGCACGGTGTGTTGGGGCAGTAAAGTCAGCGAAGGATATTCGTATAAATTTTAAAGAATATTTTATCAATAATTATTTAAAGATTATGAACACATTCATTTATACAGACTCTTCCAAAAAAACTATAATCTCATACAAATACACAGAATGTCTCAACTAATTTAATAGACAATAATTGTTTACGAAAAACGAAGCAGAAAACGTATAATAAATTTCTTCACACATTTCTGTGAGAAATTTCTAATTTTGAATGATCTTAAAAACCAATTCAATTTTGTATCACAATTTTCATATTACATACTGTTCCAAAAAGAAGTGAACAAAGTTGTATTTCAAAGTTAAAAATTCAAAGGAAAAAATAACCTTTCATTACAAATTTCCAATAAAATAACTGATTTAAATTACTGTACAGCTATATTATCATTCATTTCATATATGTCATCAAAAATAAATTCATACGAGTATTCTTCGTTCGAACCCCTAGCACGCTGTCCAATTTTCATACCAAACTGTTTAGACACCGTGTAGAACACCATCGTGTGTGGACGGACGTCACAATTGCTTTTCGTTACTTACGCGAATCGAAAGTTCGTAACGCACGCACTTCATTTACGGAACGAAGGGCGAACGGAAGTAACCGGAATCTGCTGTCCTGTCTATGTCCTCGCAAATAAACTGTTTCTGATCGCTCGTATAGATCTCGCGCCGCGAGAGCATTCCCGACGCGTTAATTGCTTCGCAGCTGAAAGGGCTAATTAACGGAATTCCTTGAAAATAAAAGGTGAACGCATTCGTTTCTTCGATTATACTTTTCATCAGGTAAAGCAGCGTTTTCAAAAACCTCGAAATCTATGTTTCTTTCATATAACATTTGAATAATGAGTTACATTGTAATAACAATCTGTTTGTACGACGAGCATGAAATCAATCGTTGCAGAATAAACGTGGACACGTAACGTCTTCAATATGTAAACTACAAACAAAAATATGAAATTCGGAAACAATGAGGAATGACAGTATAGTTTTAAGATTTGCGTTAAATAATTTATAATATATATTTTGAGACTGTAAAACTTGCAAAATGCAGAAACAATTTCTTTCTTTTTAATTTTTAGCCGAGAAAAACACTGAACAGTATTTTGGATTTATACAAATTTTTGTCGAATAATTTAGAATTACATTTTTAGGTTGTAAAACTTGCAACATTCAGAATCAATATCATTTTTTTAAACTTTGGATTGAAGGAAAGACTGAACAGAATTTTAAATAGAGAACCTATATAGCATCTATTGTATGAAAGCTAGAAAGATGACAAGTTTCATTGTTCAAATAAAATTTAATTTACAAATCAAATGAATAAAATCTAACTAAATCAAATCAATGAAATGGAATCCGACTAAAGTAAGCCAATAAAATGGAATAAATAAAACTGTAGTCAACTTAATTGAAATAAATTCCTACACTTTAATTCAACTGAAACAATTTAGTTCAATTTAGACGTTGACGAACCAATTCCGAGGTTTCATCGAACGCAGCACAGTAATCACTCGTCGAATCATAAACCTCTGTGTTAGGATTCGAAATGGACTTTTTATTCGGTTACAAGAAGAATGTTTCGTTTCTAGTGTAAAGAATGGACGAATCGAGTCGTGTCGTATTACAATCGATACACGATCGAGGAGGATAAAAATCACAACTGCCCGACGCGTCGTATCCGGCAATATAATTAAATCTACGCGCGGATTACTCTTCTAGCCGGCGCGTGTTGGACGTGTAATTAAGTACAGTGGTATAATGAGTATGTACAGGCAGTGTTTTCGAAGAACCGATGTCAACCGTCATCATCGTGGCCGTTAATTAATTAACTATCGAGATCGATCGATTACATGAGAACCGCTGAAACGTTACACGATTTAATCGATAAACTGTAAACACTATTCTGTTACAATTGTCCGTTCGAGTTTCGAGTATTAAATTGAGCAGCGAATACGATATCCTGCGTGCTGTTCGTCAACATTTGTCCAGACACGTCTCGATATTTTTGTTTCCTTCTTTTTTTTTTATATATCATATCATATTATATTATATTATATTATATTGTATTATATTATATATACACTTAACAATTAAAATTGCACGCCGTTTAGCGCGTCGCGGAAAGATATTACGTGTAGTTTCTTTTTCTAAAAGAATCTAATTGTATCTCGAGCAGGTAAATATACACGGTGAGCTTGAATTTTCTAGTGCAACCTTGAAGCGGATAATTCTGTGCGTCATAGTATGGCACTCTTTTTGTAGAAACACGACTTTTTGTTCTGCCAATGCGGTTTTATAAAGAGAAGTGAAATTTCATTGTTACGACGCAGTATTTCCCTTTATGTAAAATAAAGTTAATTATGATAGTAACAAATAGAAGGAAGTTTGAAAGTTTTTACAATATATATTGACATGAATCTACCTGTAGTTTGTTTATATCGATTCGAATTAAAGCGAATTATTTTATGCGATAATTCAAAATAATATCAAGAACAATGGAACTAATGAAATATTGTAATTATATCGAACGAAATGTAAATGTATAGATACAACAAAGAAATGTCTTTTAAACAAAAATATTTGAGCTTTACTTTCTCCCGTTTCTTTATGTTTCTATAATTATAATATATTAAATCTTGATCAATGTTAATTGATAAATGTCTTTGAATCTAAACGTAGTTCTGTATAATATAACTAATGTAAATTAGGTTATAGTTATATTTAATAATGAAACGAATATTTATGAACACGTAAAGTTGCGTAACGATGGTTTACCTGTGAGATTCTTATATAACCTAAAATGTAGCAATAGAGAGAAAATTTGTGCAACTCAAAATTGTTTCATTGGCTCATAAGGAGGGAACACTGTACTAAAAGCGAGGGAGAGACACGAATATGGTAATCCTTACTGCGAAACGTCTGAAATTCAGTCTCAAGCTATCTCACTCAGTCTTTCGTTTGACCATATTCCGTCTCGTATGCTGTATTGTACTTCTACGCATCTGTCCGAAAAAAGGGAAGCCATCTTTCTCTTAAAATGTCGCTGTCAGTCCCTAAAAGACAGCCAGCTGTTTCTCGTTTCGACGACGTGATCAAGCGTGTTTATACAAAGAGTATAATAATGCAAATCGAAATGGTAGAATAAACACGTTTCGAGCGAAGCTAGATTTTCAAGAAAGTGATCTTAAAATTAAACACTTACCCATTGGGAATCTATAAATAATCTGTTAACGACTGTCTCACGATAAAAAAGATTTAATAATTTTTCTCTGAATATTGATCCTGAAAGAAATAATCAGATTATATCGTTCAAGATGGTTTCTTGCTTCAAAGAGAAATTTTAAATGAAATTCAAAGAAATTATTAAAAAATTACTACCACCTGTTAATAATGAATTTTCAGACAATT